CAACTTTTGGATCTGGACTTTGGGTCGTCTCTTATACCACCACTTCTTACCTTGTCATCAGATATTCTGCTACCTACTGTGCTACCATCTACTTCACCATTTCGTGTATACTCTCGTCATCGTCGATCATCGACTTCGGTGCCTGTATCGTCTCCCTTGCCGTCTCCTGATTCTGGTCCATCAGGTAATTTAGATTTTTTACCTATTGCTCTTCGAAAAGGTACTCGTTCGTGTATTACTAACTATTCCATTGCTCATTTTGTTTTATATAATGTATTATCTCCTGTCTTCTCTTATTTTATTTTTCAATTATCTACTATCTCTATCCCTAAACACTTATAGGATGCGTTGTCTGATCTAGGTTGGGGGAAAGCTATGGAGGAGATGGATGCATTACATTATAATGGGACTTGGGATCTTGTTCCTTTAGTTCCTGGTAAACGAACTGTTGGTTTTCATTGCATGTATACTGTTAAATTTAATCCGAATGGTTCTGTTGAGCGTCTCAAACCCCGTTTTGTTGCAAAAGGCTTTACTCAGACCTATGGTGTTGATTATGAGAAAATTTTCTCTCCTGTTGCAAAAATCTCTTATATTCGTACCTTGATTTCTTTGGCTGCTAATCTTGATTGACTCTTGTTTTAGTTAGATGTCAAGAATGGTGACTTGGTTGAAGAGATATACATGAGTAGCCATCTGAGTTTATTGCTCGGGGGGAGTACAGTAAGAGTGTATGTTCGTTAAAGAAATTTTTGTATGGTTTGAAGCAGTCGCTGAGGGCATGGTTTAATAAGTTTTGAGATGCAGTTTTAAAGTTTGGTTTTTTTCGTTGTCAGATAGACCATTCTGTGTTTTATAGGTAGACGGATGTCAGATATATTTTATCGGTAGTTTATGCAGATGATATTGTGATTATTGAAAATAATTTTGAGGGAATTGACAAGTTAAAAACCTTCCGATAAGACCAATTTTATACTAAGAATTTGAAAAAATTCATGTATTTCTTGAGTATTGAGGTGACTTAATTTAAATAGGGTATTTGTTTATTTTAGAGGAAATATGTACTTGACATGTTAGAGGAAGCAGGTTTGCTAGGTGACAGACTAATTGATGTTCTTATGGATTCGAATCAAAAATTGTTGATAGATGATGGTGCATTGTTTGAGAATCTGGTTCGGTATCACAGGTTGATTGGGAAGCTCAATTATCTCACTTTTACTTGACCAGATATTTTCTATGTAGTTAGTACAGTAAGTCAGTTTATAGGATGTCCTAGAGTCGAGGATCGAAATTTCGTTTCAAAGTACCGTTTCGGTCAGCCTGAAAACAAAAACGTTTCAAAAACGCAATGGAAACGTAAAAAGAATATGGAAACATGTGAAAACACAAATACAATCTATTTATTTGTAAAGATAAGCTTAATAATTAATTAATTAATTAAGCTTGTTTATTGGGTTAATGTCCATTTATATAAGATAACATCAAGTTTGAGGTAAAAAAAAGGGTTTGACATGAGGCGAACATTACTTCAATTAGTTTTAAACAATTAATTTTTATAAAACAAACACATTTTTACATGTATATATGACATTTTTAAATTAAATATGACATGTATAACACTTTTAAATTAAAATGAGTACAAATTTATTATTTGCATGTTATTATAATACTAAATTACTAATTTAAATTGGGTCATCAAATTACTAAGTAATTATTTCATTAATATTAAAAATATTTCATGAATAATTTTTATAAACATAAATACTTAATTTTAGATATTAAATATACCATAAAATTAATTGCAGTTATTTTGATAAGTTAATTAACAATAATAGGTTGTTTATTAATTATAAGGGCTATTAACAACTATAAAGGAAAAAATGGGGGGGCTGAAATGACATTTATGTTAATTAAAACAAAATAAAAAGGGCAAACAGTGAGTCGGTGATCCCTTCATTCCAATCGCACAGACCACAGAGAGAGAGAAGATCAGAGACTACGATCGACTGCGAGAGACAGAAGATTGAGACTCCGATCGATTAAGACTTCGATCGATGAAGAGAGAGAAGACAGATCGATAAAGACCTAACACTAGCCCCCGGTTGAGAAGAAGAAGAGGAAAAAAAAAATTGTACCTGGAGGAGGTTGGATCTGGACACGAGGACGACCCATGGTAAGCCACTAATTAATCTCCTTTTGATTTTTGAGCTTTTCTCTTCCGTCTATCTCTCTCTCTTCTGTTTTGCTGGAGAAGCTGTCACAAAGGAAAAAGTTCTACATTTTTTGGTTGAAGGAGTCCGGAGTCTGGACACTGCAAGTCGAATTAAGTCCCTGTTTCGATCGAAACAGTTCGAAACCGTAACATTTCGCTCAAAACGCAGGAATTTTAGTCTTTCACCCTTGTTTCGTGTCGGCGTGTTGAAAATCTGAAATGTTTTGGATGTTCGACACGATATTTTCAGTCCTTACCTAGAGTACCACATTGGGAGTTAATTACTTGTATTCTGCGATATCTCAAACGTGTTCCTAGCCTTGGGTTATTATATCGAGCTAATGGACATCTTAGAGTGGAAGATTTCTCAAATGGTGATTGAACTGACTCTCCTTTTGATCGGAGATCAACTATTAATTATTGTACTTACTTAGGAGGTAACGTTGTCTATTGGAAAAGTAAAAAACAACCTGTGGTAACGAGATCTAGTGCTGAGGCTGAGTATAGGGTAATGACGCATACAACGAGTGAGATGATGTGACTATTACACTTTCTCCAAGAAATTAGATTTTCAATTCATCTTCCTTTACGGTTGTTCTGTTATAACCAGACAACTATCCATATCGCTGCCATAGTTGTTAATATCGTACGATTCGCGATACGTATCGTACGATACGTTACGATACATTTGAAAAACGATACGTATCGTGTCTCTGTATCGTTTTTGTACCGTATCGTACGATACAATACGTACGATACGTACTATACGATACAATACGTACGATACGTGATGATTATGTTTTTTTATTTTTTAGGATTAAAATGAAATCGTTTTACTCTAAAACTTATTTTTAAATCACTATCTAGTGAAACGTCGTTTCAGTGGTTATAGTTTAAAAAAAATAAATAAAGTCTAATGTTAATGTTGTTCAATTGAATTCAAAATTTCTAATTAATATTAAAATTGTTCATGTAGTTGATGTTAGAAGTTTGAATTAGGGGCCTTCGCACTTTGATATTATTGAACTATATCGGAAACTTGGAATAGTTGGTGCAATATTAATGAAATACTATGTTATTATGAGTCTATGACTTTTTTATAAAGGTATATACATATATTTTATTAATAATTATTTAAAAATTAACATTGCGCGTATCTTACGATACACAATACGATACAATACATTATTTTTAAAAAACGATATGCCTTCCGATACACGATTTAACAACTATGTTCGCTGCCAATTTAGTGTTTTACGAGAAAACAAGATAGTAACTGGAGAGATTACGACTCCATTTGTAAAATCTGAAGATCAGCTTGTAGATATGTTTACCAAGATATTGAGTCGTGCACGTCTTATAGCAATTTGTTCCAAGCTTGGGAGAGTGTTAAGAGNCGCTGCCAATTTAGTGTTTTACGAGAAAACAAGATAGTAACTGGAGAGATTACGACTCCATTTGTAAAATCTAAAGATCAGCTTGTAGATATGTTTACCAAGATATTGAGTCGTGCACGTCTTATAGCAATTTGTTCCAAGCTTGGGAGAGTGTTAAGAGTATTAGGGTATTATGTGTAAATAGTATACGGTATATACGTTTTTTGTATTATTATAAGTTAACTATAAATAAAAGTGGTTTGTGAGATGAATGTTAAGTTTTGACCACTCTTTGTTTCTTTCTAATATTGTGTTAATTCTTTCAACTTAACACACATAAACCGGCCGGTTTAACGGTTCTTTAGTGGGTGGATTACTTGAACAATCTAANTTGTATTATTATAAGTTAACTATAAATAAAAGTGGTTTGTGAGATGAATGTTAAGTTTTGACCACTCTCTGTTTCTTTCTAATATTGTGTTAATTCTCTCAACTTAACACACATAAACCGGCCGGTTTAACGGTTCTTTAGTGGGTGGATTACTTGAACAATCTAATTGGTGAACCAGATCGGTTTAGGCACCGGTTCACTGGTTTTTCGGCTCAACTTGCAGGGCTGATCTGGTTTTAATAACGCTGATACCAATTATACGTTTCTCAGTTCATATGCTTTCTGTTTAGAATTATGGCAATATCTGGACTGTTAAATATAATGTCATATTGGCAATATACCATCACTGAATGGTCGGCATTGATAAACACAGCTGACCATTACATGTGAATTGGATGGCCAAAATTCTAATGTTTTCTTGATGCCTGCAGTGACACAAACCATTTCTTTCAGTAATCCATTAGCATCATTGGGAAAGATAACTAATTTTGTTTTTCCTTAGNATATTCTAATGTTTTCTTGATGCCTGCAGTGACACAAACCATTTCTTTCAGTAATCCATTAGCATCATTGGGAAAGATCACTAATTTTGTTTTTCCTTAGCGGATGTCTCTATCTGAGCTACTTCGCTTGCATANTGAATGGTCGGCATTGATAAACACAGCTGACCATTACATGTGAATTGGATGGCCAAAATTCTAATGTTTTCTTGATGCCTGCAGTGACACAAACCATTTCTTTCAGTAATCCATTAGCATCATTGGGAAAGATANTTTTCTCTTAACACAAAGAAGCATGATTTGGCAATTATTTCAGTTGGATTAAAATTCCAGTGCTATCAAGTAGATGTTTCCCTGTTTCTAGAGGTAGACAACTTAAACAACTGACTTATGCTAAAACAAAGGGAGCGAAGCAAGACCTAGTGAAGGGATTGGATAGATATAAAATGAGAGATTAAGATTTTAATTATTTAAGTATTATTTCCTATTTGGANCTTGTAACATGTATTCTTGTTGGTAAAATGCAGATCAATGCCTTTTCAGTCACTATAGTGGAAAATGGGGTCACAGAGTTCTGTATTAGTAGTGTCTGTGAGTTTTTTTTTGGTAAAATTCTTTGATAATTTTCAGTGCAGGATTGGGCTGACATGCTTCTCAGGATGTATGTGAGATGGGGAGAGAAGCAGCGATACAAAACCAAAGTAGTAGAGAAATCTATGGGAGAAGAAGCTGGGATTAAGTCAGCTACAATTGAACTAGAAGGCCAGTATGCATATGGGTATTTGTCTGGAGAGAAAGGAACACACCGTATTGTGCGACAATCTCCGTTCAATGCAAAAGGCCTTCGTCAGGTAACCTGCCATGATTATAACGTATTATTTTTTTTTATCTCTTCCAGTTTTCATAAATTGAGAATCTGTTATAGCCAAATCAATACCTCCCATGGAACCAATAGTTGAAGTCATATTCTTGTGTATTGACATCGAGAAGAGAAGACTCAACATGTATAGCGTTATAATGTAGTTATAGATGGAACCATGTGGCCACCACTTCAATCATCATCTGGTTGAAACTTGGTTGTGCAATGTTCTTTGTTAGGTAGTCTGTTTTTTATTGTTTCATGACACTAAAAGTGAATGAAGTACCCTTGTATTCCCCATGGCATGACTATGGTTTAGGACATGCATACAATTCATTTTTTGTTGAATGGGTACCACAGGCACATCTGGCAAGAGGAAAAGTGTTCTTTATTTTTTTTTTCAGTCAAACCAATTATTTTTTGATGTTTATGTTCCTCATTCATACCAAAAATAGCAGAAAGAAGGGGAAGAAAGGAAAAACTGCCAATAGCAGACATGCTAAACCGTCAAGTTTTTCCATAAGATAAAAGGACAGCAAAAAGCATACAATTGAGAGCTCAACCATGTGGGGGATTATTTGCGAACAACTTTCTAGACACACATCTGTTCATGTTCCCAAGTTTAACATTGGTCTGTTTGGAATGCATTTTTTAATGGGTTGACTGGGCTGTATGACTGGTAACGGTAGTTACTGCCTATGCACCAGGCTTCTGGCTCGAAGATTGTTTATCATGGTCGTGTATTTCTGATATGAAACCCCACTGTGTTTCAAACAATATAGCATTAATACAATGAGAGGACCATATTGTATGAATGGGATACCTGTTTGAGGTTTCTATTGTTCCAGTGTTTCACAAATGGTCCGTCCATACATTGAGGCAACCTTTATTGCATACAATTTTGGATGAGCTGCCATTGTTTTCTTTTCAAAAATTTAGACTTGGTGTGGAGGTACAGGACCAATGCCAAAAGGCCAAAATTGGTGGAATCTCAAACAATCGATTCTTGTCCAGTAAGCAGACCTAGTTGATTCTCTGATATGGTGTCCTCACCTTCTCCGACTGTTGAACTTAGTTGCTTGAGTGAGGAGAAATGGGGTCATGTCATCTCTTGCCTTGACTGAGTTTTATGTTTGGATGATATCTGGTCTCCACTATCTAACAGAAGATAGTTGGTTCAATGCTGCTGCTTGGCCAAAATTAAGTTATTCCAGGAAGAAAAGAAAAATGAATACTAAATAATGAGCAAAATAATGTTTTTTTACCCCATAAATAATTTCTGACACTTAGACATGTTGATGTTTTCCCCCAAATGGTCTGCCCTGCTGTTCAAAGTAATGGATGTAATTTCCATTCTCAGAATCAGTTTGTTTATTTATTGCATAATATGGAGTTCTGAACTAGATTGTTTCATGAAGGTTACTCGGATGATAGGCCTGGATTCGTTGTATCCTAGACAAACATACTGCACCAAGCACCAATTTTTTTTCTGAAAGTCATTTACCACATGTATAAGCCACCTAGTTCATTTTCATTGTTCTATTGCTGTTTGAGTCATAATCAGTGTAATATGTTGCTACGAGCCTGCGGCAGCAGATACTAATGTCAGAAATGTTGAAAGATCTAAAATACCACCTTTATATATCTTGCATATACATTTCTTGCTTTTTTATTATCAACAGTCAATATGATCCATACTTTTGAATCTAATTATTAGTATCAAGGATCAATATTTTGTTTTTGTGCATTGTTTCGGTCACCTAGAAACCGGAAACGTTTCAACATGTTTCAGAAATGTTTCGGCGCGTTTCGAAAATAGAACAAAAAAAAAATAAATATTTAAGAATTATTTTTTCAAAACATTAGTCGAAATATACCAAAATATCTTCAAATATCTTGAAACATTCCGAAATAATTATGCAAATGTATTGAAATATAACAAAAAATTTTGAAACATTATGGAACACCTCAAAATATTAGAATTTTGATTCCATCACTGATTCGTTTCGGTCTCCTTGGAAACGGAAACGTTTTGGATGTTTCGACTATTTCAAAACGATATTTTGATCCTTGATTAGTATTAACTTTAGATATTGCTGGAAGTGGAAATTTTTCCTCAAATATAAAGGAAGTTTATGGGTCATGTCAGTGATGGGAGTTGCATGTAGACCCCGGAATTTAGGAGTTAATATTGGCAAATAGGATATGCTAGACTTCTGTGGAAATGATTATCTCTTGTTCTCTATCCTGCACGATCATCATATAATTCTGATCAATTTTAAAATTATACACTGCACAGACAAGCTTTTCTGGTGTTGAAGTCATGCCTCTTCTTCCCGATGAGTCCATGGATGTTGAAATACCTGAAGAAGACCTGGAAATTAGTTTCTCCAGAGCAGGTGGGAAAGGAGGCCAGAATGTGAACAAGGTTGAAACTGCGGTTCGTATTACTCACATTCCCACCGGTGTTACTGTTCGTTGCACAGGTTCTTTCTCGAACTGTTTTTCTTTCTTGAGGTTTTGTTCTTCTGCTTCTGTTGTTTCTTGACTGGGTATGTATGTTTGTATGTATATTGGTGAGAATTGGGTCCATAGAATTGTTTATATTGGTACATTTGGTTTTGTTTATAGGGTGGTTTATATTGGTACATTTTCTCTTAACACAAAGAAGCATGATTTGGCAATTATTTCAGTTGGATTAAAATTCCAGTGCTATCAAGTAGATGTTTCCCTGTTTCTAGAGGTAGACAACTTAAACAACTGACTTATGCTAAAACAAAGGGAGCGAAGCAAGACCTAGTGAAGGGATTGGATAGATATAAAATGAGAGATTAAGATTTTAATTATTTAAGTATTATTTCCTATTTGGATTTTTATTATTTATTAGATTATTTGGTTTGGTAGTATCCATCTGTTTGGAGATTTGAATAGAGTTTAGTAGTAGAGTAATTTTAGTATTGGTAGAAGATTTAATTAAATCCGAGTTGAATATTCATTTGAGTATTCNAAAAAAAAATAAATATTTAAGAATTATTTTTTCAAAACATTAGTCGAAATATACCAAAATATCTTCAAATATCTTGAAACATTCCGAAATAATTATGCAAATGTATTGAAATATAACAAAAAATTTTGAAACATTATGGAACACCTCAAAATATTAGAATTTTGATTCCATCACTGATTCGTTTCGGTCTCCTTGGAAACGGAAACGTTTTGGATGTTTCGACTATTTCAAAACGATATTTTGATCCTTGATTAGTATTGACTTTAGATATTGCTGGAAGTGGAAATTTTTCCTCAAATATAAAGGAAGTTTATGGGTCATGTCAGTGATGGGAGTTGCATGTAGACCCCGGAATTTAGGAGTTAATATTGGCAAATAGGATATGCTAGACTTCTGTGGAAATGATTATCTCTTGTTCTCTATCCTGCACGATCATCATATAATTCTGATCAATTTTAAAATTATACACTGCACAGACAAGCTTTTCTGGTGTTGAAGTCATGCCTCTTCTTCCCGATGAGTCCATGGATGTTGAAATACCTGAAGAAGACCTGGAAATTAGTTTCTCCAGAGCAGGTGGGAAAGGAGGCCAGAATGTGAACAAGGTTGAAACTGCGGTTCGTATTACTCACATTCCCACCGGTGTTACTGTTCGTTGCACAGGTTCTTTCTCGAACTGTTTTTCTTTCTTGAGGTTTTGTTCTTCTGCTTCTGTTGTTTCTTGACTGGGTATGTATGTTTGTATGTATATTGGTGAGAATTGGGTCCATAGAATTGTTTATATTGGTACATTTGGTTTTGTTTATAGGGTGGTTTATATTGGTACATTTTCTCTTAACACAAAGAAGCATGATTTGGCAATTATTTCAGTTGGATTAAAATTCCAGTGCTATCAAGTAGATGTTTCCCTGTTTCTAGAGGTAGACAACTTAAACAACTGACTTATGCTAAAACAAAGGGAGGGAAGCAAGACCTAGTGAAGGGATTGGATAGATATAAAATGAGAGATTAAGATTTTAATTATTTAAGCATTATTTCCTATTTGGATTTTTATTATTTATTAGATTATTTGGTTTGGTAGTATCCATCTGTTTGGAGATTTGAATAGAGTTTAGTAGTAGAGTAATTTTAGTATTGGTAGAAGATTTAATTAAATCCGAGTTGAATATCCATTTGAGTATTCTTTGGGGAGAATTTGTGATTCTTGACATAGTTCTTGGCGGGATTTGGTTAACCTCTTTCTCATCCTTCCCCAGCATCAATTGGTATCAGAGACCAACTTTGATCCTCAATTGCTGCTATTTCTCATCACGCTTAACTGAACATGCGTTTGTCACTCTTCATTGTCTTTGCTTTCTTTCGTCACTGTTTCTTCATTGCTCAAATCTCCATCATTCCACAGTTTTGCCGGCAACAACGCATGTCAACTTGATGGAAAACGCTGCTTTCATGCTCTTTGCCGTATCAAATCAGTCGTTTCCGACATTGTGAAAGTTGCGTTGAATTTGAAGGTCGCCATAATCCTCATCATTTGCTAGTGCAAGACGTCATTGCGACCTGTTGCATTGACAACTTTTTTTGTTCATTTTGTTGCGGTTGAAACCAAAGCTAGGGTTTTTTAAGATACAGAGCAGTGGTCTCTAATGTAAACGATGACCTGGTTGTTGGGTTAAATTTTTACCAAGTTGTTGCCCTGTCCATTTGGTTTAAGTTAGAGAATTTGACCCACTTGTTTGATAGTTGGTCCTATTACTTTTTAAAGGGCTTTTGGCCCACTTCATCAGAAACCTATTGCCAACCAAATCCAAAAACTAATATTGAGACCCAATCAATGTCTAAACAATCCTATCTAATCGAGAAATAAAAAGAAACAATCTCTTTTGATCCAACCTAAATTTTTTGGAAATTAGAGATCCACCACAACGATGGATTTGGTTGAGCTTTATATTGTGGCCTCACAGAATTAGTCAACTACAGTAAATAATTTTCTAACACCAAAATATTAGGTTTCTTTAGAATTTAAAATTTTCTTACAATTGTAATATATCCAAATAAAAGGTAAGGTTGAAAGGTCCTTGAAGGTTGACAAAGATCATTCCTAAAAATTTGTTTTTAGGCTATAGTATTAGAACTCATTGAAGCAGTAGATTACTTGTGACAAGCCCAGATTTAGACCAGACCTAAGGCTAGTTCATGAGTTAAGTCCAAACCATCAAAAGACAGATCAGACTTATTTTTACTTGTAGCTATCCTTCCTGAAAGACTAGTCGCATGATCAGGGTTAGCTGGATTGGGAATCGATTGGGTACGTAGTACGGGTACAGGTGTGGGGTACGTTACTCTTTTGTGGTACGTGGTGCAGTGAGGGTAGGCATAGCTGGTACGCTATTTTGAGTCGCGGTTCATTTTTNTTTGCGGTACGTGGTGCAGTGAGGGTAGGCATAGCTAGTACGCTATTTTGAGTAGCGGTTCATTTTGAACTATTATTCGGGTCATTTTCATTATTATAAAGAATTATATAAATATATACATTATAAAATGCAAATTAAGACCAACAACAATACATCAACTAATAATCATGTATAAAAAAGTAATGATTGCATATTTTATTATCAATAAAGACGGCATATAAATTTAAAGACTTAAAATTTTAAAAATAACGTATTAGAGAGCGATTAAATAACTTCCTACTTGAAGCACAAATCAAAATAACACTTTTAAACATCTAACAATTTTTAAATAAAAATTACTTAATAAGAAAAAAATTGGAGCACATGAGTTAATTCTTAACTCTTTTCCCGTTATCTTTCGCAGTGTTCCTTTCTCTTACAAAGTTACTAATTTGAGTTTGATGCAGTCTGGAATGACGGAGTGGTGGCCTGCTAAAACTAGTAGGTGACTTGTCAATAGAGACAGGCATAGAAGCATGTAAGGATGAAGCTTCCCGATCTTCGTCTCCAGCAATGGTAGAACTATTTGTATTGTCATCCTCCAAGGATTTTCATCGCAAATCCTCCAATCTCACACTAGAATCATCTATATATGTGTGCTCTGGATTTATATCCCATTTCTTAAAAGGACCATCTTTGTAACTTTTACTGAAACTTGATTGGAGACGAATATTTGAATGGATGAAAACCAATTTGTCAGCTCTGATAGAATTCNTGATTGGAGACGAATATTTGAATGGATGAAAACCAATTTGTCAGCTTTGATAGAATTTAATCTGTTTCTCTTGACATTGTGAATAAATGAATACGTGCTCTAATTACTTTCAGTTGAAGAACTTATAATTGGTTGTGATAACACATTTTATGAAAAAAAATAATAAGACACATTAATAATGATAATTAACAATAAAAATAAATAACTTGTAATTTAAATTGGTACTTTTTTTGCCATTTCTGCTAATTCTGGAGTTTCTGAACTATATGTCGACCATCAATCAATAGCATTCATGGTCACAACATCTGTTTGAGCCGTCACTATAGCATAAAGACCCTTTAGCGAGTGAAAATGTGCATACTGTTTTCTCAGTTATTTTGCTTCTTTTACATCTTCTGCTATCTTTTCAAAAGCTTCCATAACATCTATGATGACTTCTCTATCTTGATTTGAAGTTTTTCTAACTGTACCTCCCGGTGCTAGCTTAGTAAGATATTGGGTATCATAAAACCGTGGTGTTAGTGCAAACCCAAGACAATGCAAATGAATATTCTTCTCCTCCCATCTGTTAAGTACAATTTTTTCAATCTGGGGGAAATTTATCAACGTATTTTTTACCCCTCATTATATCTTTTATTTCACCTAGCATGTTGTCCATCTTCTCATAAATCTCACCCATTTTCTGACCTTCTCCATCTCAAAATTTAATAAGAAAAAAATATAGGCTTTGTAATACTTATGATATTCTCCACATCCTTCCAAAATTCTTCACTAATAACAGTTTTTGTGACCAAAGCACCTAACTTCCTTGTTTGTTCATACCCAGATTTCACCAATTCTTTCCATGACTTGAGAATAATGGTAGTTGCAAGGGACTCTTTACAGTCAGCAATTCGCTTCAACAAAATATAATGCGATGCAAACCTGGTTTTAGCCACTTTTAATAGCTCCAATTTAGATTGAGCTCTAAACATAGTCAAAACATGTATGGTTCAAGAAATATTTAACAATAGATTTTCTCCTTTTATAAGTATTTTTAAACCATNGTGCTCTGATACCATGATAAGTTTGAGAGAATTAACATAACACAATATTAGAGAAAAAGAGGTTAAAAATTTAACCTAGCTCTCATACATTACTTGTATTTATAGTTAACTCACAATAATAAGAATTTCACATACACCCTCTTGTATTTATATATAATACCCTATCACTATTAACAAACTACACATACTAACCTAATACTCTTAACAGTTGTTATGACCAGTGTTATCAGAACCAGACTAGACTGGTTGGTTAGACCGTGAATCGGGGTATAGACCGGTCCGGTTTTTGAGTTGGACCGCTTAGGCAAGTGAACCGGCTGTTAACTGTTAAACCGGCCGATTTTTGCTAAAACCAGTGAACCAGACGGTTTGTTCAAACCGGACGGTTGGATTGCAATTGTTTTAAAAAAAAAAAAAATTTGTTTTGGGCATTTTTGCCCTAAATCCCAGCCTCTCTTCTTCAACTCGATCCCAAGCTCTCTTCTTCAAATCGCTGCCTAAATCTCAGCCTTTCTTCTTCAAATCGTTGCCTATTCATCTTCAACTCGATTTTTGCTGGGTTGTTGCCGAAGCTCCAGCAGAAAATCAATGATGTAAGCTCCTCGTCCTGCTAACCGCTCTCCACCACGTAAGCCTCCACAGCCAGCTGCTTTTGCTCCTCCACCAGCGCCTGTACAAAGGGGATCTGCAAGTGGAGGGCTTGGTTTTGTAGTTGCTGAAGGCATGACCTTTGGTGGTGGGAATGGAATTGCCTACAGGACTAAGGATTTCGTGTTGGGTCCCAGGGCCATAGAAAATATCAAGTAACAGGTAGGCTTTTAACAAATATTATATTAATGCCCTTGACTGGTTAGTAGTTTGGACCTTAAAGTTGAATTTTGATATTTGGTACATGTTTTTTTTTACTTACCTTCATTAATTTTATGACAAATTATATGTATTTTTGACATGTTTTATATTTTCTAGCTAAATTATTATGTTTTATAATTATTATATATATATTTTTATTTTTTTATTATACGACCGGTTCGACCAGTTGACCCAACGGTTGAACCAGTGAACCATTGACCCGGTCTCCTTGTCGGTTCGATTACCAGTTTGGTTCTGATAATATTGGTTGTGACCCTATTTTTTTGTAGTTATTATGTCTTTGTCAATGTTACTTTTTTTTCTAATACAAGAGCTATTCTTTCACCCGATTTGATCTTTATTAGTCAGGGGCAACTGATATTACCTCTTGTATTTGGTGTATTTTCTCCATCTTCAACTACTGACCCTTCATTGTATGTTTGTCATTGTTCCACTAATAGACTAGTTGTTTCAAATGCTCTAGCTCCCCAACCAATATCTAATTCCACTGCTTGATTTGCCTATTGAATTGTGGAAGGTACTCGTATTTGTACTCAACATCCCATTTCTAATTTTGTCTCTTTGCATCGACTTTCCTCTTCATTTCACTGTTTTGTATCCACCTTGTTGTCGATCCTTGTTCCTAGCTCTTTGAAACATGCATTGACATCTCTTGGATAAAAATTGACTATGGATCAAGAGATAAGGCACTTCATGAAAATTATACATGGGAACTTATTTCTGTTCCATCTGGGAAGCAACTTGTTTGTTATCTTTGGGTGTATATTGTGGAATATCCTCCTGATGGTTCTGTTAAGTGGTTGAAAGCACGGTTGGTTGCTAAATGGTATAGATGTGGATTATTGTGAGACCTTCTCCCC